TAGTGTACAGTCAGCACTCACAGTTCCGGGACAGCAGGCTCTGGGATGCGGGCAAAGTTGTAATTTTAAGAAGCATCTAAATTGTTTTCTCTAAGCTCAAAATTTATAGAAATTTTGCACATTATCTGTTTGAAGGTCACAGATAACGTATGTAAATCGTCAGATGTCTAGTTCGTTGCAAAAAGGGGGTCAGACGTCCTCAAAGTTTTTATTTTATGGCATTTTCTTCAAATATATTTGTCAAATACCTGCAAAAATATATTTTGACAGGACACCGAAGAAAATGCCATAAAATAAAAACTTTGAGGACGTCTGACCCCCTTTTTGCAACGAACTAGACGTCTGACGATTTACATACGTTATCTGTGACCTTCAAACAGATAATGTGCAAAATTTCTATAAATTTTGAGCTTTGAGAAAACAGTTTAGATGCTTCTTAAAATTACAACTTTGCCCACGTCCCAGAGCCAGCTGTCCCGGAACTGTGAGTGCTGACTGTACACTAGTATTCTAGCACTAAAGTACGACCTATTTTGAAAATATCTGCCTTGCGAAAACTCTTGCATGTTTTTGACCCCAGCTCCCCAACTACATCACTTCCTTCATATGCAGCCAGCGAGCGCATAGCTGTAGATGGATAGTAGAACGGCTCAATAAGCGCATCATAATTTTAAATTTTCCATATTTCAAGCCGGGGGCGGTTTTGTAAGCTTTTAGATTGGAAATTTGGCGCAGGGCACAAGATAAATTGATTTACATGAGTAGATTCTCTCAATTTTTTTATATCAATATTAACCAAATTCCTCTCCGAGAATTTCCGATGACATAATTTCCTACCCGACTTACTGGACACAAACCCTTAAATCCTGAACGATTTTAGCCGCAAAGGGATTTCACAAATCGTAAATACCTCGCCGAAAATCCTTAAGACCCAATATCGCGTTTAGGCAGTCGGGGATGGGTCAAACCGAAATCTCCGATTATAGTTTAATTTTTTTGGCATCAAATCCAGCTCATTGAGTTAGCTTCCGAATTTCTTTTAAAGAAGAAGTAATGGAACGTAGCTCAAATGCTAATCAGAGTCACAACTGCCTAAATCCATTACCTCTGTCTTATCCATTAATTGGTTTAGAGGTCACATTGAATGTGTCGCACTGAATAGCTTTGAGATAATGGGGCAAAACGCGGTGCCGCTGTTCATTATCCTGGAAACCTCGACACGGAATCGGGACGCAGCGGCTGGAAGCGAGGGGGTGATTAGCACTGAAAGTCTATGAGTTAAGTCTGTGTCTGCTATAGGGCTTATCAGTAATTCTATTGTAGTATTAGAAATTTCAATTTAAGAAAAATTTTACTTTTTATACTTGTTGAGGAGATACCTACACGTTACAATATAAGCAAAGATTTTTATAAAAAATAATTTCAGCACTATCTGGATTAGGTTGCGATAAATTACAAAAATTTAGACAATTATTGACATAATATTTTAATCATAACCGAGCTTCAAATGTTATAAAAAATCCTATATCTATCCATTACATGGAAAAAAACCAACTCTGAAATTGAAAAAGGAAAAATAAACGAGCGTTATTATGGACGCTAGTTAATAATCTCGTCTTCCAAATTATGTTCACCCACCTATTTCTGGAAAGGACAGACGATAAATTCATAAACGAATCAGAAATAGAGCAAGAAAGTTTTTTTCTTATAACGTAATCATTCTAAAAAAATTCGAGCCTTAGAGTGATCAAACAGTGTAAGTGGGTGCTTCTCTTCTCCTTCAATGGATGAGGGGAAGTTGGTAAAAAATTGATATTAGAATTATTAGAAATAAAGGAAGTTGGTCAAGTGAGGGCCAAAATTAATTAAAAATAATAGAAATGCTTTAATTTTAATTAGAGGAATTTATTAAAAATGACTCTGAGAGTCAAATCATAGCAAGTAAATTCCAGTTTTCAATGTGGATACAACTACAGAAGTGTTTCTAATTTTGGTGGCGTCAGAAAACTGCATAAAATTGGTCATCCACATTTGGAGCTCCTAAGCGTGCGAGACCAGATGGCATTTTCTGGCTATTTTAATAAAAAGGGGCTCGAGCTACTGACTCTGCACCTAATACGCCTCTTCACGGCCTGCCTGGCATATGAATACCAGATTCCTGGCATAAGGTCCAAGCGAGGAAGTTATAGTTACGAAGCGGCTAAGTATTACAGTACAGACCCATCAGTCTATACTCGTTTACTTAAAACGCTGGAGAAGCTGGTTGACTTATTCATCAGGTAGGAGGCATTGGAGACAATGCCCATACACCCTAATCAACACGCCTACAGGACTGCTATGTCAACTGAGGCGGCTCCTAATTATGGATCAAAAAGAATAACAGTATATAATATACCTAGGTAGAAAAGTTGGTCTGATTGTTTATTTATATACCGAGCTCTTTCATTCAAATTATTTTTTCTTGTCGAAAGTGCTACCCTCTATCAACAGCTTATGGTAATTTCCTATGATGTACATACAGGAGCCTGTTTTTTTTTTACATTGACAGTTTGAAATTGGAATTAAACCAATAGAAACCTGGTACGTCATTATCAACCTAGGGAGAAAAATTCAAAATTTTGCTACAAAAATAGATTGAATAATGACCACTTCTTAGGTGAGTAGTAAAAAAAAATTAATAACAAAATAGTATGGAAAAACTAACCCTATACTGTGTAGAAATAATTAAATTCCATTTTTTTTTTCAAGTGATTTTCTTAAGTTTTGACAATTCCTGAGAAGCTTAACATGGCAGGTATAAACTGCGGCCGAGTTCGTTTTTGTCGTCTTTTTCGTCGATTTCCTTCGAAATTTTGACAGGCACGTGATTTGTAACTTGAAACTGTCTTATCCAGTCACGTGCCTGTCAAAATTTCGGAGCAAATCGACGAAAAAGATGACAAAAACGAACTCGGCCTGTATATTGTGCTCTGAAAATGAAAACGAAACTTCAAAGTTTGTTAAGTTATTTGCCAAAGGTATATAAGGAATCATAAGTGCAAGTATAATTCGAAAAGTTATTTGAACAACTTCCTGATGACCTCGTGAGTGTCCATGTTGAATGCCGCCGTGTATATAGGTACAAATCCTAATAATATCCGCAGTGATGCAAAATGAAAATTATCTACTTTTTTTTTCAAAGAACAATGCTTTTTTGTGGTCGCTTTGTTACTGACCGTGAAAAACGAGTTAAATCTTGGTCCGTACAGTAATGTTTCAAAATTCTGTTATAAAGGCGTATAACTCCAAAAATGATTTATGGTCAGCAAAGGTTCAATCCCGCTTGCTATCAGTTAATGACTTGCCAGCAGCAAATGCCATTTACCACCAGGCATGCAGCGTAAATTTTCGAAAAGGTGACCCGATCCCAAAGAAGTACCAAGATAATTCCCAAGACGAATTACGTTGCAAAACTCTTGGTCGTCCGACGGAGAAAGAGAAGCATGATGCTGTTTTGGAAGTATGTAGTTGGTTCAAAGAAAATGATGAGCCCGTTTGTGTCCAGCAGCTGGTTACTAAAATGAAAGACTTTCTACCAGTTGGTAGTGAATCATATAGTCAACGCCACATGCTGCAAAAACTTAAAGAACATTTTTTTGGGAATATCGCAGTTTCCTCAAAAGATGGATTGCCTAATATGGTAACTATGGGCCAAACAGTGGCTGATATAATCTTGGATTACCAGAAAGAAAATAAACTAGAAGATCCTAAAGCAGAGAAATATCATCTGATTGAAGCAGCAGCAATACTTATCAAAACGGAAATCAAACTATTATCAACTACAACGGAGCACTATCCCTCGTCATCAGAAATTGCATCTGAACAGGATAATAAAAAGTTCTTGCCCTCTGTTTTGCAACATTTTTTGGATATCATCATTGGTCCTAAGGCATGTGATTTAAAGAGAATTTTTATTGGGCAGGCTGTGGTGCAAGCTTCAAGACCAAGATCACTTATCTATCCTCTTTGGTGTTGGTGTGCAGCTTCATCGCGATTTCGGTTCTCGTTTACTTGTAGACGAGCTTCACAGACTTGGGTTTTCCATATCATATGATGAAGTACTGAAAGTACTTACAGTCTTCAATAATAGACAAAACACCAAATTTTCAAATTACACCAGGTCATTTCTGTCAGTGGATACCAGATAATGTGGACCACAACATTGCCACCATCAATGGTCACAACACTTTCCATGGAATGAGAATTATAATGTGCAAATTTAGTGCAAACTCCAATTCATTGTCAGAGAGAAAGGTCCCTCGTTGCAAAATCCGATTTAATGCTGCTGATATCTCTGCAGAAGCAAAAATAGAAATTTAGATTCTTTCAGTCTCTTAAATCAAGCATGAACAAAATTATATTTGATAAACTGACTAAACCCCATTGAACATAATCTAGTAGATCTTTGGTAGAATACCAGTAGGTTGTTGAAGACGCCGCGTCCTGGATGGAATGGATACATGGAAAATGTCGTAATCAGTTATGAGCACCCAGGGATAGTATCTACAACATTTTTACCCATGATTGATATGGATCCAGCAACTTACAGCTGTGCTTATACCACTTTGAAATTTATATGTTCGGAAGCAAAAAACTCGACATACACCTACCAGTTGTAAAATTTGATCAGTGCCTGTGGATTAAGGCTATGGTAGTTGTTTGCAGTAAATCCGAATAATTCCCAAACATTTTAATTCGTCTTGGTGGCTTTCATACACTGATGAAATATTTAGGTACAATTGGTGAACTGTTATGTGAATCTGGAATCGAAAAGGCCTTGAAGACCATTTACGCAGAAAACACAGTCTCACATATGCTTACAGGTGAAGCTTATTCAAGAACTGTCAGAGGACACATACTGTTTTCATCCACCTGTACTCATATCAATTTTGCTTCAGGATATCCTGGACAGTAACTTACAACTTCCGGCAGAGCTCTCAAGTGAGGGACAGGTAGAATCCATGAATACAGGTGAAATACATTTAAGTTTACACAGCCTTAGGAAACTTTACGATAAGCTATATAATAGCGAGATTACAGTCTCTGAATTAATTTCCTCTACCGAGCTGCTTAAGTTGTCTTCTGAATTGCAAGAAAAAAAGAACTCTTTAAAGGTCCAAAGTAGAACAGCCAAACTGTGGATCATGTATTTAGATATGGTTGACATTTCCAAGGCATTTATTTGGGCTGAACGAACAGGAAGCTTAAAAATGCATTTGCAAGCTATAGAGCACATGCTGCCTTTCTTTGCGGCTGCAGGGCACAACAACTATGAAAAATGTGCTAGGGTATATCTACAGCAAATAAGACGAGTGAAAAAAAATCATAAAGATGTTTATAGTGTGTTAAGTACTAGTCATTTCACTCTTCGTAGACACACTAGATTGTGGGCTGGAATATGGACAGATATGTTTATTGAACAAGCGTTGATGCGATCAACAAAAAGCCGAGGTGGGTTAACACACAGAAGGAGTATGGGTGAAAGTCCACGACAACGAGCTACATGGATATTGAGTCCCCCGCATGTTGTGAAGTTATTGCTGCTATGAGCGATCTCACTGACGTCTCCCGTATTAGCAATGAACAACATATTGAAATATCCGATGCTAGGACATCTAGAGGTATGGAAGTTTTTTTTACATTATTTCAATTTTTGCAAGATCATAATCCACTTGATTCAGAATGCATTCAGCTACGTAATATTTTCAGTGGGTTAGTAGACAGTCCACACAAGGTAACTGCAGATGATGCTTGGTTAATTCGACTTCAAATCCAATCCAAACTTAAGGCAAAATCGAGCTGTATCGGCTGTGAGCTGAAATCAGAAAAGTGTGGTGATCCAACGCGGGTTTGTTCGCTTAGTTCTGGGTGAGTCAATTTTAATTAAAATTTGTAAAGCTTAATATACCTTCAATTTGTGTCAATTATGGAAGAGTTAGCGAAATTAAAATCAAAAAAAGGCGTTTTAAAAGGTAAAGTTACACGTATAGAAAATTATTTGAACGCAATAGAAATAAATAAGATAAATGATAATATTATAAATGAAATTCAAATTAGACTTGAAAAATTAAAGCCCCTTTTTGACGAATTTGAAGGTGGTACACTACAGGGTGTCCTTAGATAAACTGACACATTTTGCAGGTAAATATCTCGAAAACGAGAAAAGATAACGGGATGCGGTTTGTTTTGGCAGAATAAGGATTTTTCAAAGTTTTTTTTCATGGCATTGACAAATCCTGAAATTTGGTTTTACAGACATTCGATTTTTTGAAATAATTACATACTGCCTTATTCTTAATGAAACACCCGGTATATTTTGTCATCGTCAGAAAGCGTGACTTTTCTACTGTACAAAAATGTATAATTTTTTTCAATTATGTCGAAATTGGATCGTAAAAATTGCACTTTGTTAAAGAGTGTACCATCGACTGGCCAAAAAAATAATAATAATTAATTTGTGTTTTATATGCACTTGCATTATTAGTTTATTTGTGTTTAATAATTGTATTATTAATTAATTATGCGCTAATTAGTTGATAAAAGTATCAAACACAACTTAATCATCAATTTTTTTTTTGGTTAGTCCATGGTGTTCTCTTCGACAAAGTGCAATTTTTACGATGAAAGTTCAAGATAATTTGAAAAAATTATACATTTTGGTAAAGTAGAAAAAACAGGCTTTCTGACGATGACAAAATATACAGGGTGTTTCATTAAAAATAAGGCAGTCATTTTATTTCAAAAAATCGCATGTCTGTGAAACAAAATTTCAGCAAATTTTAGGATTCGGCAATAATGTGAAAAAAACTTTAAAAATTCCTTATTGTCCCAGAACAAACCGCATCTAGTTATCTTTTCCCGTTTTCGAGATATTCACCTGCAAAATGTGTCAGTTTATCTAAGGACCTGTATTACACAAATTGCCATGGCCAAAAACTGAGAAATTTTCAGATGAGTTACAACTATATAGCTAACCAATATAAAGTTGTGAAAGTTGTATTTGATGGCTATACCACCTCCAGTACAAAGGATGTTGAGCATCAGATACACAAAAAATAATCCTCGGTAACAGTTAAATGTACCAAGAGTTCTCCACTTCTTACCGGCAAAGCACCTTTTCTTTCTAATAATGAAAATAAACAGTGCTTTATTACAGTGCTTATTGTCAGCTCAGCACTGACCTTGGCAGAAGAAAAACACGTAACAGTTGTTGTTGACGACACCGATATTCTGGTACTTTTAATTTACCATAACACACCAAATACTTGGATGCACTCATCTATATTCGGTGATGAAAAACGTGATATTAAATCGCTGCAACATGTGCTTGGTGAAAAGGGGTGCAAAATCATTCTCTTTTCCCATGCTTTAACCGGATGCAATACCACAAGCTCCTTATTTGGGGAAAGTAAATCGGCAGCATTGTTTGGATCAGAAAATGCAAACAGAAAGGAACTCACAGACATTGGCACCAAAGCATTGGTATCGTTGTACAGTGGAAATCCAAAGAGTACGATATAATCTTTACTTGAAAAAAATCACAACTGCCAAGAGTGAATTCAATATTGCAAGATTGTCACCAACTGAATATGCTGCTGTTCAGCACCTTCTTCGTGTACATTTACAGTGTCTTTGTTGGAAAACCATGAACTTATGCCATATTGGCAACCCCGAAGCGTTGGGTTGGAAAAAAGTAGGAGACCGGCTACAGCCCATAACGTGTGGAATGAGCCCCGCACCAAAGTTATTACTAAACAGAATTCGCTGCACCTGCAAAATGCTTATTACTTTTAAACCAGGTGTGCTAGCTACCTGCAGTTTGCGCCATTCGACTTCTCTTGGCCTGAAGTTTTTTTTAGTAGGTTGTAAATATTTTTTTGCCTCTTATACAGGGTGAGTAAAAAGAAATCCGTTTTTCAACATCGAAATTCTCCACTATATATAATCGAACGCACTGTATATCACAACCTCAAAAAAAAGAGTCATGTTTAAGGTATCCATGTACCAATAAACATCGTCCTTTAAACTTGAAGTTTAAGCCATAAAAAATTGAAATCGAAATCCTGGTATTTAAAATGGGTCACTCTCGGCTGGGACACCCTGATTATAAAGCCCTAATAGTAGGATCGAAATCTATTTTATTTAGCTTACGAAAGTTGTCTAAAAAGACCTAACTATAAATGATAATGTTTGATTACTTCCTAATAATTATCAATTTTCAACACTTACAAGTCTCGTATTTTCCATTATTGAAAATTCTGCAACATCACAGATCACTTTCACCCCCTTTAAATTAATATTTCACCCTTAATTCCGATAATGTTTACACTTTTCCTGGTTATTTATTTCTCCGAATAAGTGAGATTTGGGGACATTTGTTGCGATTGTGCAGGAAGCTCTGTTGCCGAGGTTTCTTAACCATTGTTGCTATCGCGTTGCTATCAGGTTGCTATCACTGAACGAGTGGTTATTTTGAAGTTTTAAAACTAAAAACCGGGTAGAGGATGATTATTAATTAACTAATTGGTGTTGGGGGAGGAAATTGGATAAGAACTTTGAGTTTTGTTTATCATAGATGTGGTTTGGGTTGTTCGTTTCAAGCTGATTGTCTCGTTTCCCTGCTTTAGACCGGAAATCTGGCACCAGAGGGCATCTTGGAAAACATAGAATTCTGGGAAATTTCTTATATGAGCATACCTGGTAAATTGCAAAATAGGGTCATTCTCTTTAAATTTTCTCACGTTGAGCAAGAAACAAGTTTTGGCAGATTTTACCAGCGTTCCTCTTTTGTTGCGTTCTTTGGAACATCCACCTTTCGTGGGATTTTAGAGCCGTTGGGAACTCAAGTGATAGCTGGCTTAATTGGTTTTGGGGTAAAAGCTTGGATTTGGTCGTAAGTCCCCGTATTTGTAAGCCAACCACTCAGTATTTTCTGGAGACGAAAATCTACGCCATTTTGTTGAGTTGTCCTGCGAGAGCACGTTTTGTTCAACTAAGAGCCCGAATTGTAACCAGGTAAATTTAATAGCTATTTATGTACCAAGGGGATTATGTAGATTATAATGCCCGAAGGCGAAACTAGCCCGAGGGCCTATGGCCCGAGGGATATATTTCGCCTGAATACCTAGGAAACGAAATACGTTAACACACCTATAACAACCTGATCCATAACGCCCGCTTTTGCGGGCGTTATGATCTATAACGCCCGCTTATAATACCTTAAGGTGTTTTTGTTGTTGTTGTTCTATTAATTTGCACTTTACCCTAGGCAGCCACTAAATGTCTGACCGAAAATAATTTTCGGTCTAGCCAGGATTCGAACCCGGTCTACCATCAATGTTTCCATGTAGTCCAGCGCGTTAACCCACAGGACCACCACCGTTGCCTTGCCTTATGAGATGTTTATAGATATATTAATTTATTTCGTTTCTATGTACAGGTCGCAGGTACATGTACAGGTCACAGGTACAGGTACATGTCAAAATACAAAACAATATTCTGTCACACAAGTTTAACTGATTTTGTTAATAACAAATTGATGAAAAAACATTGTGTTGAGTAGAAAATAAAGCATTGTATGCACCACGGGGATTTCAAGATTATAATGCCCGTCAGGCGAAATATATCCCTCGGGCCATAGGCCCTCGGGCTAGTTTCGCCTTCGGGCATTATAATCTACATAATCCCCTTGGTACATAAATAGCTATAAGGTATTATAAGCGGGCGTTATAGATCATAACGCCCGCAAAAGCGGGCGTTATGGATCAGGTTGTTATAGGTGTGTTAACGTATTTCGTTTCCTAGGTATTATGGATCTATAATAGTAAAGTAGAAAATAAACATTTTTATCAATCTGAATTTACCTTTTTGTTATCAATAGGTATTTAGTTTAGCATAAGTATCAGTATTTTCGTAAATATTTGGGATTCAATAAAAAAACGGGAATCTGACCTCCAAGAGGGGCAATTTGTCAGTAAAAAACTCACTAGTCACCTTGAAAAGGGAGATTAATGGGCTTATTAATTAAGGGGATTCATTTTCATAACATAGACAACTTAGTGGTTTCAGGGAATTTTCCTATATTAATTTATTAACATATTTTATAGTAAAAAGGGGTTCTAAGTTCTAATACTTTGTACTCTTTCAGGGTTTTCTCGAGGGTTTCATTTCTCCATTAGGTTTATTTTTCCATTGGGTTTTTCCCTTTCGGCGGTTTGCTAACGTCTCGAAGTTGTGATGTCAGAGTACCCACAACACTGAATCTGAAACCGAAATTTACCCTATCTAAGAAGGGAAGTCAAGAAGTTGATGGGGTCTGTTATCAGGTCTTTGAGGCTGTCATGAGACAGCAATGGATGTTTAGATGGCAGGGAGGACCACAACGGTGTGATGTACCCGTTGACTTATTAACGTTCCATTAATTATCTTTTTTTTTTAAATAATATTCTTTCGTATATTTAACTTGGTGCATTTCCAAGTTTGTTTTACCGCCTTTATTATTACAATGGTTATACTGTGCCAATGGTTATTAATTTACCATATTTAAGTTGAAACTTTTGTACAAACCCGCCCCGGTATACCATGGTATTAGCGTGCACATCTTGAATTTATTGAATTGTCTTCGTAAGACCAATACAAATCGGTCCTTGTCACCTTTCAGGTAATTTTGACAATTACATTTTTGCGAGTCTGAACATAGACCCCCCTCCTCCTCCCCCAGAACATATTTAATAGATTTAAAATCATTGTTTTTATATTTGACTCTTATTCTATCCCTAATGACCTCAATCAAACTAAGGTGAAGATGTTTTTTAAAGGATAGGTACATCGGGTGGGCACATCTTTAGAGGAGTTTTGGAGATCAGGGACTTTCTGGTTCAAGTCCGCGGATTCTATTTTGTATAGCATTGGCGCCCTATAAAACTAACTGAAAATATTGAACCTACTCCAACACTGACTGAGTAGCCGCGAGCACTTTGTTGCGCTGGCTGCATTCCTTAAGGGTGTCTTATTGTGCCTATGCCTAATAGTGTCTTTTCATTCAAATTCATTATTCAAACTGTTTAAGGGTAAATTATTGCGCAACTCGTTATTTGATACAATACACAATTTTTTAGCAATTTTTTGAAAAAAAATAAAATGGCGGCCAAAAAACGCATTTTGCATTCTCACATTGTTCTAGACTTTTAGTATGTTGAAAGGATATGAGTAATGAACTCAAAAAATCAAACCCTGTCTTTGTGGTAATTAGTTCCACCTTTGGCAATTTTTTTGCGTCAATCTACTGTACTATGATACTATCAGACAAAGCCAAAAGCTTCAGCCCCTCCTAGACAATGCAATGTCGTCATCTCTGCAAGGGTCGACTGGCTAGATCCTCAGTCAGGCTTCCTCAAGCCGAAGGGGCTCATCTGGTACACACACGGGTCTCTGATAGGAGAGAGTGCAGGGGCTGATGTATATGGGGGGAGACTTGTGGTGAGAATCAGTTTTACACTGGGCCGATACCCAACGGTATACCAGACTGAGATCTACGCCATACAGGTGTGTGCTCAGGAGAATCTCGAGAGAGGTTACTCGGGCAAGCTTATTTATATATGCAGCGAAAGTTAGGCAGCACTCTGAGCCCTTAACTCAGACAAGATCAATTCAAGGATCACGTTTGCGGGTCCCTAAGGTAAGACTGGGCTGCACCAGGAGGGGGTAGCACAAAGGTCCACATGTACGTTTACCTGCTGCCTGCATGTATAGGCTCCCCTTTCAAATTTATCAATCAAGGAAAGCCTAAATTGGAATGTCAAGAAAATCATTCAAAAAATCTATAGATAAAGAAACTGCGAGGACTGTAAAGACTGGAAGTTTTTCATTAGAAATCGTTTTAAGACATTCTAAGCTATCATGTCCAAAAAGGTGGTAAATGGTACCCATAAGAGATATGATTTTCTTCCAATGGTACGACACGCACTTTATAAAAAATGTATCCTGATTTGAAATCATTTAAATAAAAAGAGACTATTTTATTATTACACGATAACGTCGCTGTGTATGTTTGTTTGATTATATTCCCGGGCTTGTAGGGCCGGAAATAAATATATTTTCATTAAATTTTGTTTGGCCCTTTTCGCCCTGAGGCGCAAAAATTAAACCATATGTTACGTAAGCGACCAGCAGAATGGATTGGTAAAAAACATTGTTTTGCAAATATACGGAAAAATATGAGTTATAAGAAAATACATAAAATTTGGGTCGCATATACATATAAAATATTATTCAATGCTTAAGGCTAAAAGAAGTTTATATTTTCAACCATAAATAATACCGGAAATCCAAAAATTCCGTATTTCTAAGGTATTTTTTTGGTAATAACAAAATATTAAATACAGATAAGAAAAAATACCCAAAATCGTCTCTTTAAAATATAGGTATGTATTTGGAAAAATATTATTATTGATTTTCATTTCAAACGACTCCGTAAAACCTTTTTAAATCAGAATTCGCTTGTTGCAGCAGAAAGGCACCCC